TTGGGGAGGAAAGGGTTTATTCAGCTTACATCTCCCAGGTCGCAGTTCATCAGAGAGCCCAAGGTAGGAACTCAGGGCAGGAACCTTGGAGGCAGGAGCTGGAGCACAGGCCATGGAGGATTGCTGCTTACTGGCTTGTTCTCTTATCTAACACAGGCCCACCTGCCCAGGGGTGGCACTACCCACAGTGGGCTGGGCCCTCCCACATCACTCAACAATCAAGAAGATGCCCTTCAGACATGGCCATAGGCTAGTCCTATGGAGGAAATTCCCCTATTGAGGCTCCCTCAACCCAGGTGTGTCAAGTTGACACTAAAGCTATCCAGCACAAGTGGATACTGAATTGTTTGCCACTGCACGATTCTTCTACTTTCAACAGCATTTGCATCAATAAACTCCTCTCCCCTTCCTTCCCCTGTGTAGTAACTTCAGCTCTGACAAATACAAACTTTACCTTACCTTCCAAGGTGTGGCTCACAAGGGCCCTGGGCGTCTGGAGGCACTGCCTGAGCGCAGGCCTTGAATGATGAAGATGGTGCCCACCACGATGCCCACGAGGCCTACAGCCAACCCCAGGGCACAGACCACAGTCTCCGTCAGCTCTGACATGGGGACTGGGATCTCAGGTTCTGTGAAAGTGAAGTTCTTGATGTCAGAATAGAGTATGTTCACGTTTATGCAGTTGATTCTGCAGAGACTTGGGGGAACTGGGCTTAGGGAAAAGCACAGATTTTATGATTAGAAACACTTTAGACTAGAAAATTAGCTTTAGACATTAGACGCCACAAGATAGGCTGTTTTAGAGTTGACAAAGAACAAGAAGGTTCCCAAAAGTGGTAGAACCCATATGTACCCCAGTGTTTCAGATACGGCTCCTCCAGGCCCCAGTGTTCCACCTTGCAGTCATAAACATCGTCATCGGAGGGGAGGAAGGTGAGGTAGGCAATCTTGAGGAAGGAGTGGTCAGTCTTGGACAGGAAGCTGGTCTCAGAAACACCTTCTGTGACTGGGTTCCCATTGTGCAACCATGTGATGTTGATCACAGGAGGAAAGATGTTGTCCACAAAGCAGATGAGGGTGTTGGGCTCACCCAGCACCACAGGAGACTTGGGGAACACAGTCATGTCAGGAGCCTCTGTGGAAAGGAAACAGCTCAGACATGAATGGCTGATATGAGCTGTGCTGCTCTGCAATTCTGCACTGCATGGTGAAGGCGCCCTCCCTCCAAGATTTCCCCCACTATGGTCAAAGAGCCCGTGCCTCCCTTCTGCTTGGAGCCGCTGTATGTGGCCCCCACTTTATCCCTGTGCCCATCTCGCTATGGCCATGTGAATTAAGTAAGAGGTCTATGGGAAAGATTCAAGGAATGCATCATGGGAATAAGGATGTTTGTTTAACACGGAAACGCATGATTTCTAAGAAGTGAGGAGAGTTCAGCCATTACCATGAGAAGATCTGAGAACTCCTTGGAAAGGAGAGAGTTTCATGGAGCAGCAAAGAACAACTGCTACCAGGGAAGAAGGGGGTGAGGCCTGGGATGACAAGGTGGGTTCCAAAGAGAAGTAGGAAATGAGCACACACCATTGGTGGCCATGGTAGAATTGGAGTCCTTAATCAGGATCTCCAAGTTGTGTTTTGCTGTGGCTATGTCTTGCAGTCCACCTTGTGGGTCAAAACTTTTCAATTCTGCAAATGCAGGAATTCTCCAGATAGTCTGCTTCTTCTGCAGGTCCACATAGAACTCCTCATCTCCATCAAATTCGTGGGTGTACTGGCCTCTGGATTCGTAAGATTGGTATAAAACTACACCATAGGCACCGATGTGGTCAGCTGACGAATTTAGGTGAACAATGTGAAGGTGGGAAATGGGAAGAAAAATAACAGGATTAAAATGACAGACAAAACCTTACGTTTTTCTTTTCAAATACTGCAAGCTTCATTTTTCCCACAATTCCACCACATGTTCCTCAACACATCTGACTTAAGTGTTGGTAGCTGTGTGGTTCCAATCAGTGTTTCCCACTCTGATGTCTTCTGAATGTCACCTGTCTAACTCCTGCTGTTCTGAGGGCCTACCTGGTGCATCATAGGCTTAAGACAGTTTGTAATTAAATGAAAGAAGGCGAACATGCATTTCTGTGACATTTAACTCTTTTCAATGATTCAGTTGAACTCCTACTCTGCTTCATAAGTTTTTAATCTCTCAAAATTATTTTTCACTAGTTAATAACATCTATCACACTTCCCTTCAGAATCGGCTCAGAGCAGGACATTTCCTACACAGGGGTCCTTTTGTGTTTTAAAAAACATTTTATTTATTATTTTTATTTCATGTGTATGTGTGTATTGCCTGCATGTAGGTAAGTGCACCTGTGTCATGCAATGTCTGTGGAAGACAGAAGAGCCTGTTGGATCCCCTGGGACTGGAGTTACGGACAGTTGTTAGTTGCCATGTGGGTGCTAGGATTCAAACCTGGGTCTTCTGCAGGAACAGCCAGTGTTCTTAACCTCTGAGCCATCTCTTCAGCCCCGCAAAATACTTTTTGACATGAGGGGAAAGTCAGAAAGAGCTAAAGATGTAACTCAGTGGTAGACTGCTTGCCTGACATGAGGCCTGCCATGTGTGTGTAATCCCCAATACA